CCACAACTAGACTGAAGAACAAAAGGACAGCAACTTGTCTGTTCCCCTTCCCCAATTCCCCAGCGCTGTTCCCATTCCCCCAATTCCCCAATAAAAATCTTTAAAAAAAAAACGAAAACAAACTCTACAATATCCCATGACTTTCCAAGCCAGGCAAGGGAGGTAGATTGTGAAGGGGTGGGTCTAAGAGCAGTGAGGTGTCTGCCCAAGAGCTGTGACAGGGACTGATGGCATGGAGGCAGCATTTTAGGAAAGCCAGCTTGGTGTGGAGACCGGATGAGATGAAGATGGGTCTGGTGGCTGGGAGTCGTGCTGGGGACTCTTGTTGCAAAGCAGGGTTTTGGTGAAAAGCCTGGAACCACTGGTGGTGACGGTAATTTTGAAGAAGCAAGCACTCAAGAGGCGATGTTAAGGAAGTTGCAAGTATTTCAGGGTTTGGTGAAAGGAACGAAAGGGAGGAAGGAGAGATGGTGCTGGGGTCTTGAGCCTGAGCGTCTGAGAGGGTGGCAATGTACTAGACAGCCAAGGGGACAGCAGGAAGAGTCACCTTTGGAGGGAAGAATGGGGAGGCTGATTTTGAAGGGATGGCAGGATGAAGTCCAGTCAACTGTCAATCAGGAAGGAGGTGAGGTTAGAGTTCAGGTGAAGGGTCAAGGATGCACATAAATATCTGGGAGCCATCAGCACCCCAGAGATTAAGGGGGATAAGGATAGAAAGTTCCTTGGGTAGATAGCATATCCTCTAAGTCACCCTTCCTGAAAAATGTGGCAAAAGTCTGCATCTTAATGAAGAGAGACAGACCTACAGGTATACCTCATCCCGTCCCCTGCAGGCTTGCTTGCAAGCGCATGCCAGTATGGCATCAGAGTGAGAAATCTAGGCCTGACTTCCCCTCCTCTCTCTAGCATGTCCAGGGTTAGAAGCCCTGAGAGGAAAGGCACAGGTTTGGAATAAACATCTGGAGCTGATCAAGTTGTGGGACAGAAGTCAGCCAGGGTAGGTTCTGGTCTTTCTCTCTCAGGCCTCCCCACCCACCTCCCTTTTCCTCTTGCCCCTCAGTCCCTGCTCCCCCACACCAGGTCCTTAGCCACTGCACCTTACCTAAAATTCCCAAATACATTCTTTGGTAATGTCCTCGCTGTCTGCCAACAGGGTGCCGCTTCGGTCGGATCGCATGTAGAAGCCATTGGGTGCTAGCACCGTGAGCAAGTTGCTCCCCTGAAGCTCGATGCAGAAGTTGAGGGCGAACTTTCCCCATGGGCGGAAGGTGCCAAAGGATGTGATTGACCAGAAGGCCCCGCCCTGCGCTGGTGAGGGAAGAACTCAGGTCAGTGGGCCCTTCAGGAGGGGCGTCCTCCAGCAGCTTAGCCTCTGGGGAGGCTCTCCGCAGCCATGCCACCCTCCCTGACTGCCCATGCTGGCGGATTCCCTCCATGGAAACGCAGGAGGGCTGGTTTCTCTTCTGCCGACCCACTCTGGGGACCTTGAAGTGTGAAAACAAACAGAAACTCTGCTTTTCCTTTTCTGATGAACAGACCCTGAGTGGCAGGCCCTGAGGTCTGAGCTGGGGCTGAGGCAGGGCTAGGTGGGAACTGAGGGATGCAGATGATTACTCACCCTGAAAGTGATAGATGCCCTGGCGGCAGGGCAGCAGATGAATGCAGTCGGGCTGATCCATGTTGCACTGCATGAGGTCATGTTCCGACGAGGTGCCCACATACCCATACCGACCTCGCAACACGAGGAAGGGCCGGTTGGCTAACAGAATCCCAAATTCCTCATTTGAGCCTGAAAGACATGGAAGGGATTGTCCCGGTGGGCTGCCTTAGATGCTTCCCCAGATGGAAGCAGGAAGGGAGGCACTAATTGCAGATGGGTGTTGTCAATATTTTAACATTTAGTGGACACCTACTGTGTGCCAGACATCTCATGCTAGGTGCTTGTGCAATGTTTGTGAAAGCACTTAGAAATTTTAATAGTCTTCCTTCCTTTGAGATACGTGAATCTATTTAACCCTCACGATAATCCTGTGAGGCAGGCAAGTTGGACATCACCTCCACTGATAATGGAGACAATGAAATGAGGCTTAAGGAGGTGTTTTGCCCAAGTGATGACAAAATTTCAGTGGCTCAGCAAGTCTACAGACCCAAGTCTTCTGACCCCAACTCCAGTGCTTGTTCTAGCATATCCCAGCTCCCTCTGAAAGCATCTCTGACTTGGAATAAGCTGGCTGGCGGGCTGCTTAGCTCACCTGGAATGGTGGCATTGGCCATGAGCAGGCTGTTAGGTGCGATGCCCAAGAAGCGTCCACTGGGAGACTGCAGAATGATCCTGCCGCAATTCCAGTACATACGGAAAAAGGTTTCAGGCTCCAGTGGGCACCCATCGGCCATCACTATCCTATGGCGCCTCTGCGGAGGATATTGGGAACAGAGAAGGGAAGCAGGGAATTAAAATCTCAGCTTTCTTCCCATCATTTTTATTCCTAGACCCTCTTTTCCCACATCCCACCAGTAGACTTTTTCATTCTCCCAGGGTATGCTCTATGCTTTCAGATCCTTTCTGCAAAACATGTTGTGGCCTCAGTTCTCCCACTTCCTGTCTGTACTGTATCCCAGAGCCCAATATCAAAAAGGAACCTGGATATCCCATATGCAGAGAAATAAACTTCGGCCCAGATGCCAAAATTTCAAAATGAATCATAGACATAAAAGTGAAAGCTAAACTATAAAACATCTAGAAGAAAACATAGGAGAAATTCTTTGCAACTTTGGGACAGGCAATAATTTCTTGGGACAAGAAAGCACTAACTATTTACAAAATGGAGAGATTGGATTTCATCAAAAAATTGGATTTCATTAAAACTTGCTGCTCATAAGACACCACTGAGCAAATGAGAAGGCAAGCCACGGATTGGGAGGAAACATTTACAATACATATATCTGGCAAAGAACTTGACCTTAGAACATATAAAGAATGATTACGACTTAATAATAAGACAACATAATAACAAATGGGCAAAAAAATGTGTACAGATTCCTCACAGGGAAAATATATAAATGGCCAATAAGCAAGTGAAAAGATGCTCATACATTATTAACGATAAGGGAAATGTAAATTAAAGCTACAATAAAATGCCACTACACATCCATCACAGCGGCTAACATTAAAAAGACAGGCAATTCCAAGTGATGATGAGGGTGTGGAGCTATTAGAACTCTCATATGTGACTGATGAGAATGTAAAGTGGTGCAGGCACTTTAGAAATCTACTTGACATTTTCTTAAAAAGTTACACACACATTGATCCTATGACCCAGTAGTTGCAATCTTAGGTATTTGCCCAAGATAATTGAAAATATAGGACCACAAAAAGACTCATTCATGAATGTTCATAGCAATTTTATTCATAATGGTGCAAACTGGTAACAACTCAAGTATTCATCAACAAATGAATGGATATACAAATTATGTTTGTGTTTGTGAGTGGCGTTATGCAATACTGCTCAACAAGAAAAAGGAATGAACTGCTGATACATGAAACATCATGGATGAATTCAAATACATTATACTGAGTGAAAGAAGCATACATACTGTATATTCTATTTATATGAGATTCTGGAGTAGGGAAATGGAATCCACAGTGACAGACCTCACATCAGTGGTAGTGGGGAGGGCAAGGGTGGAAGGGAACTAACTGGAAAGGGGCAAGACGGAATTTCTGTGGTGGTGGAAATATTCTCTCACTTGGGAAATGATTGTGGCATGGTTGCATGGACATATACATTTGTGAAAACTGATTGAACTGTGCACTTAAAACGGGTGCATTTTACTGTATGTAAATTACGCCTCAATAAAGTTGATTTTTTAAAAAGGATGCCCCGTTGGATGAAAATAGGCCCATTGGGTAAAAATAAATGTTTGACAAGGGTTCGCCTCACTATCTGGTCATCTGACTTGAAGAAGGAGAAAGTGTGTCTAGAGAGGGAGAACTCAGGGCTTAAGGGTTGCCTTGCTCAGAAAGCGAAGGTCTTACCTGGGCTAGGTAGCAGCCATTGGTTGAACGAAGCTGCAAGGTGCGGCTCTCCTTGTTACTTTCAAACTGGAACAATGACATTGGGGTTAAGTGCTCAGAGGTGGCATACACCTCAACATCTGCAGAAGAAGAACAAGAACGTTGTCATAAGAAGCCTGAGTCTCGTCTCATCCTCAGTCTCAGCCCCTCCTCCATGGTTTATGCTGGGGTTTTCTCTGCTTTCCCTCCTCAGCTTTCATTACCTTCTGTTGGACCTGGAGAGGACCCAGACCATTTTCCTCTAAAGCCCATGCCCCTGCTTTATCACCCATCTCCATGGCACAGAGAAGCTCTTGGGACCCCAAGCTCTTCCTTATGAGCAGGTTAAAAAATCGTCACTGATCTCAAACACTTTTTCATCAGCCAAATCTCTCCCCCTCCGTGGCGTGTTGGACCCTGCACTTGCCGTAGAAGATGGAGAGGAATTTCCGAGACTTTGACCTGAGGCTGACCCAGGTTGGACAGCGCTGTAGGATGAACCACTCCTCGCCCCTATGGGGATTGGAGCCCAGGCCCAGGAGCAGGTGTGCGCCCTGTGCATACAGCATGCCTCCTTCTCCATCACTGAGTGCCACGAGCCCTCCAGGCCGCACTTGCATGTGAAAAGCTGTCTGTGTTGAGGGTTGAGAGACCAGCCGGTCTAAGTGGGACAAGAAGAAGTGTGTAGAGGTCTCCAGGTGGTAGCATCCATCTTGAAAATGCAACAGGAAGCCACATTCCTCCCGACAGGGAACTGGTGCGTCCACCCAGACTCGACACATGGTGGGGTCAGCCCTGGCATAGCATTGGTTGAAGGGACTGTAGAGGATCACGTGGACATGCAGGGCTGGCCGGGGGGTCCACATGTGGTAAGCTGAGAGGACCCGGGAGTTGCAGAACACGTCCTCGCCATCAGACTCCAGATAACGACCGCTGATTATGCACTGGAGGGTCCACTTGCCATTTCGGTGGAAACGGAGTAGGAAGCATCCGTGGTGGCTGGTCCTCGGGCGGCCATAGCACAGACTGCCATCTGCCTCACACAGAAGGTGGAGGCCCTGCAAGCTCCTTAGTCGTACCACAGCCTGTGTGTCATGCTCATTGCTCACCAGGATCTCCCAGGTCTGGAGGCATTGGGAGGGAGGAGAGGGAAATCAGTACTTACAAGTGACTAGACCAAGCAGCCCTACACCCATCACCCCAGTGATGGGATCCCATCACTGGGACCAGCCAACTTCCTGTCCACGTCAGCCTCCTTGCTGTTGGCTCCTCCACTCTCTCATGCAACAGCAACCAAAAGATCTCAGGGCACCTCGAGCACTGGAGCTTCTCTGGATCTCAAGAGAAGTTCTAGATGCCCACTTCCTCCAGCTAACAGAAAGTAAACCTTCCTCTCTTCCTTGACCACTTCCTTTAACACCCAATTTCCAAGAAATGCCTTGGTTTAAGTCTTACTTCTATCTTCCTCACTGTTGCCCCCGGATAGCACACTTAGCCAACACTTCCATCCTCAAAGGCCACCTCCTCAACATGATAGGAGAAAACAAGAACTCTTACAAGTAGGCCTGGGCTCCAGGGAGGAGGTTGGGAGCCCAGACAGTTGAAATGCCATAATTTGCTTCGGCTGTGATCAACCCTGTTCTAATTGAGAAGAACTTGCTACTACGTCACTATGTAGAACCATCCCAGATGTGCAGACATCCCTCTCTAAAATAGGAACCAACTCTCCTTAAGGCTTCTAGAATACCCCATTCTCAAACTGTAACCAGGACAGACACATAGGGCTTACAGTAACTCCACTGGTTCACCTTCCCCTGGATGCCCACAATTCTGCCTTCCAGCCTGGGCTCCCCACTGCTCCTCTTTGTGATGACACAACCACTCTGTGCCGGGATGGAGGGTAGGTGGCAGCCGGACCAAGACAAAGTAGCAAGGCCAGGGCTGAGGCTTCACCTCCTGGGATAGGTTTAGAGAGGGGGAGATAGAGCAATGGAGACCTGTGAGCAAGAGCCTGGGGTAGAAGGGTCTTGGCCTGGCAATGGCAGAGGCTAGGAAAGTGATTTGGTAGAGAGTGCACCCCCACTGCCACCACACACACACACACACACACACACACACACAGCTTAGCCACTGGAAAAGTGGTTCCAGTACAGGTGTGTTTTGTTACCTGTCTCCGGCCCAAACCCTTGGCAGCAGCAGTGACCGTACTCTTACATGCCTCGTAAGTGAGGTAGGATCCTGCCCAGCTAATGAGCCCGACCCTCAGGTCCTCCGACTTGGGTTGCCTTGGTGTCCACTCCACCTCATCCATGGGGCCGGCAGCACTGCTGATGACTCTGTCCGGCCCAGCCTTCCCCCCCGTGGTGAGGTTCCACAGGCCATAGGGACCGGAACCAGGCCCCAGTACCCACTAGAAGACGTGCCCAGAGGGGACTTTCCAGGTAAAGGCTGGCCTAGGGCCCAGCACCTCTGTGACCCGGGAGCATTGTGACTCTGAGGGGTGCCTCTCATCCCACCTCGTGGGGAAAGGGCACTAGTCCAGCAACATCAGTCCACGGCCCAGAGGAAGTGGGTCCAGGCCTCCTGTACTGGCCTCCCCACTCCACTCCAGGCACCCAGGTAGGCTGAGCTCAGACTGAGAATCAGTCTTAGCCTGTGACTCAGGCAAGTCCCTCCCCTTCACTTGTTTCTCTTTTTAATTATAGGATAAAAAACCCCTTTCCGCCCAGAAAGTGAGTTCTGTCTGGCTCTCTTGGGGCTCAAGTGTTTCTGGAGTTCATAATATCCAAGAAAAATATATTAATTTTTATGGCCCTTGGGAGGATAAAACCAAAATGTCTCAGAAGGTACTTTTCAGGGAGGTTGAGGAAACGCTGGGCAGATAACCAGCAAGGGTCAAATCACTCCTATTAGTCAGGAAGCACTGGCTCAGTGGCAGGGTAAAGAGAATGCTCTAGAGGTAGTCCTGCCCACCCTTGTCCTAACCTTCAGCTGCACCCCTGATGCACAGCCAGTGCTGCCTCTCAGGATACCAGCCCAGGCCCCCAGTCTGTTGGCCATTAGCCTCCGGGACTCACTTCCTACAAAGCTCATGGAGAAAACCAGCCCACAACCAGGAGAAACTGACATGAAAAAAGGGAGAAAGGCGAAAACAAATAATGGTGTTGATGGTGGGTTTTGTTTAAGCTTTGCTGGGATGCCAAGGGAAACGGGCAGTGCACCACGCTTCGAGAACAGCAGCCCACAAACCTGCCTCCTATTCCCCATGGCAGGGTCTTCCCAGGTAGAAAGAGTCCCAGTGATGCACAGCGAGGGCTTGTAATCCCCCGTTTTATAAAATAAGGCCAATAGACACAGAGTCACCTGGGTGATTTTAAAGATGCATATTCTTGGGGCTCAACCAGTCCTGACGAATCACTTTTCTCCAGTGTCCCTCAGGAACCTTATTTTTAATGAATATTCCCTCCCCCTCAAATTTTAATGTGCATCATAATCATTAGGGACCACGGCTAGTTAGGCGATAGACAGGAAATGGGAATTAAGTAGTTTACAGAAGCATGAAGGTAGACCCTGTTACCCTTGGCAAAGGCCCCTTGAAATCGGGGAAGGAAGGGGATTTCCTACACTGGAACTCCTAAAATACTTCCAGCCTCAAGGATGAGGAGGGAGAAAGCTCAGCTAGACAAAGGCGTGCTTGGGGAGAGGGTGGTTGGCCCTGCCACCTGAGCTGCTTTGAGCCTCCCCCGTACTGTCTCTCTGCACCCAATAACCCAGCCCCCCACTTCCAGGATACAGACAACACCGTGTACAAACCACAGCAAATTTATTACTCAATACCCAGTGCCATGTCATAGCACCACCTGGAGCTCTCACCCTCCCTCCCCACCTGGCCCAAGGGTACACCCAAAATGGAAAAAAACAAAAGTAAACCCAGATCCCTGCTCCTCCTCTGGAAGAAGGGGCCCTGGCCCTGGAAGTTCCTTCCACAGGTCCCAGCAGGCGGGAGAGTAGACCCCTCTGTGCCCGGAGAGCAAGGCTCCAGGCTCCAGCGACAAAGAGAACATGCAGGCAGGAGGGGCAGGAGCAGAGGCCTGTGTCTGTGGAAGGAGGAGGAGGGAAGGGCACTGCCTGAGGAGTCCGGGAGGCTGGGCGTCCCGGGGATGCACGCGGGAGCTTCTGGGCAGCAGGGGCTGGCCCCTGGTTGGTTAGCGCTTTGACAGCTCATGGGACAGCCAGTCCAGCCCATCATACAGGCCTGTGCCTTGGGTGGCACAGGTGGCCTGGACGTACCACTGTGGGGCAAAGGAAAGAAAGAGGTCAGTAGCAGGGAAGGAAAGGGGGGTGCCCCAGCCTGTGGCTCCCTTGGGAGGGGCAAGACCCTCACCGTGCGGCTTCGCAAGTGCTGCAGGCCCAGCTTGTCGGTCAGCTCGCTCACGGGCATGGCGTTGGGCATGTCCTGCTTGTTGGCAAAGACCAGCAGCACCGCATCCCGCAGCTCGTCCTCCTGCAGCTGAGGGGGGCCAAGGGGGTAGAATCTGGGGTCCTTTGAGGTCTCCAGGCTCCCTCTTTCCCACTGTGTACAGGAGCCCCCTCTCTACCTTCTAGCATATTTGTTGAAAAATATAATATTGTGTGGTCTCCTGCTGAACACAAGACATAGTTATAAATCAGCTGGAGACCATCTTGGCATTAAGTCCAGAAAGGGCCTTTTTCTAACTTGAGTACTTGTTCTAGTCAAAGTGACAAAACTTCCCCATGGAAAAACAAGAACGTGCCATGAATTTCTCTCCACCACATATAATTTCCCTCTTCCCACCAACTTCTCAGGCTCAGATGTGAACACGTGAAAATTCAAGGACAAAGTTAGTTCTATACTCTTTACCTGACCCAAATTCAAAACAGGGTGAAATTATCCATGTGTCTGTGTCCACAGAGAGAGCTATACACTCAAGGCCTGTGAGGCATTTCCTGATGTGCACACCAGCACCGAGATCCCTGTTTCCAAACCAAGGCCCTGGGTGCTCACCATTTTCTGGAGTTCGTCAGCCGATTCCTGGACCCGCTCTCGGTCATTACTGTCCACCACGAAGATGAGGCCCTGGGTGGGAAGGAAGAAAGGAAGGAGAAGCAATCACTCCCGCCTGGGACATACCCGACTCTGGCTTTCTCTCTTTAATTGTGTCTACACCCTTCTCATCTATTAGAAAACTTTCACTAAGGCTCTGCAGACATCCTGGCACAAGCTGGAGACACCTTGCAAAGAATACAGCTTCTGCCCTCAGACAAGCAGTCTAGGTAGAAGACATGCATGGGAACAGGGAGATATACGATGAGCGCTAAATCAGCCTGGACCCAGAACCCTGCTTCTCAGAAGACGCCAAAGGTGGCTGAGTCTCAGAAGACCAAGGCCAGTTCTGAAGGATGCTAGAAGCTAGCTTACAAAAGCGGGCTTAGAAGGGGGTAAGGTTTTTTCCTGGCCTAGGGGCCCAGCCTAGGCCAACAGTCTTCCTAACCCTAACACCTCCTCCCCTGGGGTTAGGGAGACACTCTCGCCCCCACCTGAGTGTTCTGGAAGTAGTGCCGCCACAGGGGTCGAATCTTGTCCTGGCCGCCCACGTCCCAGACTGTGAAACAGATGTTCTTGTATTCCACTGTTTCCACATTGAAGCCTGAAGATAATTGGAGAAAATATGAGAAAAAAAAGTCGTGACAGGAAAGAACGCACTCAACTGTGTGGATTCAGCAGGGACACAAATCAGAGGCAATGATCAAGGCCTAAGGGAACAGAAGTCCAGAGGCCTGGCAGTCAACTGACAGGGCGGGGCGAGGTCACAGCCACCCCTCCTCGGCACCATCCAGCAGGTAAAGATACTGTGACCCACTTCTCAGGTAGCTGTATCTGGTGTCAGCTCCCAGCACCGAGATGCAGAATGGGGAGCAGACCCTGAGGAGGTCGCCGCCACGCTCCCGCTCCTCCCAAGCGCGCCTCCTCTGACTCACCTATGGTGGGGATGGTGGTGACAATCTCCCCCAACTTCAATTTGTACAGGATTGTGGTCTTGCCAGCTGCATCCAAGCCAACTGCAAAGGAGAGGGGCATAGGGATGGAGACGGGAGCGAGGGAGCCCCCTAGAGACCAGGGAAGGGGAAAGGCCAGGACAGCTGACGGTGACAGGGGCGGAGAGCCCGAGAGCTTCCAGGTGCGCGCTGTTATCTACCTTCCGGGCCTTGAGGGCAGTCCGGGTGGTGAGCGCCAACTCCTTCCCCTAAAGCGGGCAGGACTGGGGGTGTAAGGGGCACAGGAGGGGCGCCGCGCTCCTTTTAAAAGTGGCCTCCAAGGGCGGAATCCTCCCTTCTTACCATTCGGGCTGGGGCGGAGGGAGCTTCACCCCACCCAGGCCCGCAGCTCCCGGTTTCAGGCCCCAGGAGCAGCGCTGCAGACTGTGACCCGCCCAAGAGCAGTGACCCCAGAGGTTTAGGAGGTGGGTGACTCAGGGTCAGAAAGCGGGGTGAGCTGGCCTGGGGGGACGCGGGGGCGGGAGGGCTGTGCGGGGGCCGGCGCTCCCGTCGGGGCCGCGCGCTTGATCTGCCTCACCCATAAGGATCCGCATCTGCTTCTTCCCGAAGATCCGCGAAAAGAGCGCGGACACGGTGAGGCCCATGGCGGGGCCCGGGGGAGGGGGACACGGACACGGACACCGGGTGCAGGCTGGAACCGGCCGGCCGCGGGGGGATGGGGCGCAGCAGCAGTAGGAGGTGCCGCTACCGCCTCCGCGCGTCGCGGCCCGCCCTACGTCATCGCAGCCCCGCCCGGTAAAGAGAATGCTCTAGAGGCAGTCCTGCCCACCCTTGTCCTAACCTTCAGCTGCACCCCTGATGCACAGCCAGTGCTGCCTCTCAGGATACC